TAGGTAAGAATGCCTTGTAAGTCCGTTTTATTTTGAATTTTAAATATAACTGTATATTAATCAGCATTGATCCTTTCCATTTGGAAACCAAAAATTCATCCCCAAATACATAGCCTCAGAATATCCTTAAAGATTAGTTAAATACTATGGTGCATAGAATAATACAATGCACTTCATTAAATTCGAATACAACAGCCTGTAAAGATACACTGAATATCGATTATACTACATACTAGATTTTAAAATATCACTAATCGTTTATACGGTTTAGAAGAAGTTGTACGTTAAGGTATTTCATTTAGAAAACAAATGATTTCATCACTAGATGCTTTTTCGATTAAACCCAAAAAATATTGCAAAATTTTTTCTTTGTGCTACTATATGATATAATAAACCTAAGCATTTTTAAAAAGCTACTATTAGTAATTTCTGTCTATATTTTGCAATCATGATTAGCCTCGAAGTACATACTGGTTTATGTGAATTTTATGTTGGTTAATGCAACTAGTTGTGCATATTTTGGGCATTTAATTGTTTCATGATAAAGATATTCATTTATAAATTTATTAACTCATACAGTAGCATCTAATAAAACTATCCATCATACTTTATTTTATGACCGCCTAGTAGAAGTAACAAATAAACCAACTACTTTTTTGTTTCACCAACGTAACATTAAAAAATTCTAATATTAAAGATTACATTTAAAGTCCGTTTTAGAATATCTCAAAATTCAACAACTAAATTCAACTTATCACATAACTAAGATTAACGTGATTGTTTCACCATACATACATAATTTTATCATTTCACTCATTAGTAAAGTGTTTCTTAAACCATTTCAATAAAAAACAACACATTGAAAAATTAAAGAATGTCTAAATTATAGTTTGATGACAAATTTTAAAATATAATGTTGATAGTGACAAACCACAGGCAAAATGGGAGTGTAAAATAATTTCAAATCTGTTTCAAATATGAATGTCGAAAGTAGATTAACAAATAGCAATTGTAGTTTTGATTTTATTATGAAACCTTCTGGATTATTTACATACCGTTGAGGTAAAGCAATCGCAAACATGAAAACTGGTGGTGTTCTTTCTTTTAGTCGTTCCATCATTTGCCAAATGATGGCAATATGAATACAATATCTTCTGGAGCTCCAAACAATTTCGTCAAGGTAACTGACTAGTTTACCCATCCAAGGTGAAATTTAACAATTTTCGAATTAACAACATCAAATATTGCCATTCCCTTATACATATACTCAGGGCCGGATTTAGAAATTTGGCGCCCCGGGGCACTGACAAAAATGCCGCCCCATCCTTGAAATTTTACGAACTTTCGAACTTTTTTTAAAGCAATCGCGCTGCTTCAGCTGCGAGGGACAAAATATAGAAGCGCGTAAGCGCCGCGTCGCAGTCAAACGGATAAACAATGTTACAGAACTTATATAAATGTAAACAAAATTTATACTTATTATTATAATATCTTTAAAATATCTGATAATTTAATGTGGCATATGTCTTATGATCACTTTTGTCCGCCAAATGTTTCTTTTTCAAATTTTGATTGGATCATCGAAACCGTTCTACCCGCCCCCCAAATTTAAGCAGTTATTTATTCTGTATTTTTTTTTGAATGTTATTGGATGCTTTTTCTCAAAAACTGAATTATCATTTGTGGCATTTTGGCCCGTATCTTCAAAACAGTTGGACCTACCTTAACCAATAACTAATCAGCACGTCTCCTTATCAATAGGAATTGAATCATAAATCGGTTGATCCGTGTTCTCGAAATCGACTTGAATAATTAAAAAATATTAGATTTGTATTGATGGGGAGACGTGCTGATTAGCTTTTGGTACAGGCAATTACGAAAAATGGTAATTGAGTTTCGATATTTCTTCACTTCTTTGCAAAAAGTTCATAATTTTCGAAAAATTTCAAAATACAAAAAATATGTTTTAGAGGTCTTTTTTTCATTTTTCAATAAACTTGAAATTTAAAGCTCTTTATAAAATGTAATTTTCAGTACGGGATGTTTCAGTAATTTGTCTTAAGGCACAATGCCATGAGTCACTAGTTTAATTTTTTTTTTTCGACGCTATAAGCTTGGAAGTGCACAAATACGTCATTTTAAGAGGGCTCGAGAACTGAAGAACATATTTTTCTTAAACTTTCAGCTTGTTTATGGATCTTTATATTAGCCAAATTGCCAAATTTGATAACTTATTTGATAATTTACGTTCGGAGGGGGAGGCAAGGCAAAATAATAAATTTGAGTTATCGTTTATTTCAACCCAAATTTTGCATTGCAATCGTATTATGTTTTGTTAATTATATTTCTTGAAATAAAAAAAGTTGATTATATTGTATAGAATTTTTTTCTCACTATCCAAATTTTGCCGCCCCCCAAAATTTGCCGCCCTGGGCAGTAGCCCCGATTGCCCCTACTGTAAATCCAGCACTGCATATACTGATAATTTAAGTTCATCATGTATCTGTTACTTTTTGATGAGTAAAAATGTACCTATAACCACTTGGATGTAGGGGAAAATATGAGCAAAATGACACAGTAGCTTTATTTAAAAATTGGCTAGTTAATTTAGAAGTAACCTTTCCGGAACTGTATAATATGAAGAAAGCTATAATCACAAACCTGTCAGGCGTTGAGCGTCATTGTCACAGTCCTATTTCTGTTAAAATCAATGAAGTTATTTTAATTAACTTTAATAAACCAGTACTAATAATTTTTATCAATTCTATTGCAATAATCAGTTGTTTCATGGAATTTTGATTATTTATTCATTTTTGTTTACTCTCGGACAAAATGACTTACTTATGCAATGGACAAAATGACATAGTACTACCTGGCAAAAACTACAGGATAGTTTTTTCGAAACTAAGATAAAAGAAAATTGAAACAGGACCAAAGAAAATTGAAACAGGACCAAAGAATCCACTGATAAAAAGAAGAGCTCGAGAAGATACGATGTATGACTTGTTCCATTTAGACTTATGCTTCATGTGCTGATGTCCCAAATAGAGCCAAACAATTTATTTGTGGACTGCTATCTTAAAAATTCATATCTCAATATGTCCTTACCCGATATGAAATTTATTCCATACTATATGGGCAAAATAGGTTTTAGTTGCATTTTTCATTAATATGTTATATTACAGTTCCTACTTAATTAAAAGACAATGTAATGGTAGATTAAGACTTATTATATCATGAAATACATAAATATCATTAAAAAACAGAAGACCATATCATTTTGTCCGTAATTCCCTTACAGGCTTTGCACAATAATAGTAGAAGGTTGGAAGAAATTTGATCTGATATGATCGCTGTGGATTGATTTTTGACAGTTAGTTTTTATCACAGACAGGTTTGTAGTTTCAGAAATTATAAACATCGACTTTGTGATCTGATAGATTATACTTGTTAAAAGCAGCTTTTGCAGTTACGATGTTATTATGAAATCAGAAAAAATCTTGGGAAAATATATATTTGAATCGATCATATATGTAGAAGCAACAGGGTAAGAGAATTTAAAAAAGTAATACTAAAAATGTTTAACTGAAAAATAATAATGGAGGTAGCAAATTATAAAAATATAAAACCCAATTTTAAAATACAATGCTACTACTGAAATATCAAACGGTCAAGAAACACTATTCTAACATCACACATATCAACACCGAACAACAAACAAAGAATTTTCGACAAAACTAACAGTTTATCTATTGCAATTGCATCTTGCGACAGTTGCACAACCACTTAATAATCCTCGCATTCCTTTCAACCACTGAAGGAGGTTCGCTCACCCTCACCACATTCTGCACCGGAGCATTGTTGCTACCAGTATTTGTATAATCATAAACACATTGATCCAAAGAATCCACGGTACTCGTATCGGAGAAAAATACAGGAGGAGAACTCACTTTACTGTTCTGATCCGGAGATGCCATAGAATTATACCTCACGTGTTCGTTTCCTGTCATCAATTCCTTAAAAGTATCATCAGACAAGCCCAAACGGTCGAAGAAACTCTCGACGCGCGACATCTGGTTGTCAATGGATTTTGCAGACTGAGACGACGTGGGCTGGTGATGGAGCGGTGAAGGTGGTGTAGGCTGCTGGGCTGATCGGCAGCGGATTATTTTTTCGCCTTTGTTGTTGCAATATCTAAAAAAAATCGCACAAATCAATTTGTTTGAAATACACATATCAAGTCTCTACTAGCAGTAAAAGTTAAACATATTATGTTTGGAGCATAACTGTGTACTGATCATAGACATGAACTCTTAGGAAGACCGAGAAAAACTACCTACTTTGCTTTGTAGTTTGCTTATGCTTTGAAATGTAGTACACGGAGCTGAAAACTGTCCTCCAAATTGGTTAATTTAATTAGAATAATATTTTATGCAGGCAATATTAGATGCTATTTATTTGCATGGGACAAAAAAGTATATGTGAATGTTTGTTCTTAATACTTGACCTAAATAATGAGCAGGATTTATGAATGATTTATAAATATTTAATTGGGTATATATACCTATATGGTTTCCCTATATTATTAATAATATTAATATTATTATTATTATGATAATAATTACTATATTATTAAATAAACTATAGTAGTTCCCCCAAAAAGTGCCATTTTTTGCCCATTTAGCTCGGTATCTCCGAAACGGCTAGACCTGTCTTAACCAAAAACTAATTACCATTTATCCCCACCATTACGAATTGAATGCTTTTTGAATCATACAAATCAAATGCTCAGTTCTCTCAGAAACTCGATTTCAATTTTCTGCACTCTTTGCTCCATATCGCCGAAACAGCTGGACCTGCCTTTGCCAAAAACTAATCAGCACATCTCCTTATCAATAGAAATCTAATGTTTTTTGAACCAGTCAAATCGGTTGATCTTTATGCCCGAAAAAGTGGACGAAAATGCAATTTTTCATACTTTCAATTACATACATACATACACACATCCATTTTTTCGGAGGTATGCCAAAATGTTGAGAAACCTGCAAAACTTTGTTATTGAAAATATTTTCAATAAAATCTCACCTATCGCTGATATCCGACTTGGATCTGATTACAGGTTTAGAATCTCGCTCCCTGCCCGAAGAATTGCTCGAACATTTATTTTTGTATCGAAGACATCGTTGGCGTTTAAATGTACCCAGTGGGGGACTAAGTGGGCCTCCTATTGAAATAAATATATTAATGAGTAAATCTAGTGAAGTTAATAATAATTTATGTAAAACTAGTTAATAAAAAAGTGTAATAGAAGAGAATAGCCAGCAAAAGCAATATTAACGAAAAAATAATTTTACTGACAAATCGCTTCATTCACATAATTTTAAAATTACTTGGGACAAGAAAGACAAATTATATATTCATATTTGCAAAAAAATGTTTGTAATGTAACATCAATAAAGGTAAAACCTCTTTCATTAACCACTTCCATTACAAAAAGTATCTGAATGGAAGAGTATGATGATTCTAGACTGTTCAAGAAAAAACTAGTAGAGTTTTCCAGCGAGCAGCGGTTTCCAACCTGTGGAGCCTCCTCAGGATGAATATTATTATCGAAAATAACCCAACGTTTTTGGAACGATATTAAAAAGCAAACAAAAAAGAATTAGTATTTATGCATATTTTCACATAATATTATATTGCATATTAATTTGTAGCCTGATAATATCAGTTGAGTTGAGACAAAATTAAATTAAATTGAAACTAGCTGTAAGTGGAATTCTGTCTTAAGGCAATTAGGGCATCGTGCCTTAAGGCAAATTGCGGGAACTTCCCGTACCAAAAATTTTTTTTTTTTAAAAACGATTAACATTTTTGAAAAAAAAAAAATTACTTCGAAATAATTATTGAGAAACTAGGAATATGACAAAAAATTACTTTTTTTTGAAAAAAAAAAATTTTATTTGAAAAAAAAAATTTTTTTTTGAAAGAAAAAAATTTTTTTTTGAAAACAAACTATTTTTTTGAAAAGAAAAATGTTTTCTTCATTTTGACATATTTTGGAAATTCTGAACTTTTTTTCAAAGCAATCGTAGTGCTTGAACTGCATAGAGACGAATTGTCACAGCGCAAGTGCCGCGCCGCCGTCTAACGCATAAACATTGGTACGGAACCCATAGAAATGTAAAAAAAATTATACTTATTGTTAAAATTTCTATACAATATCTGATAATTTGATGTGCATATGTCTAATCATCATTTTTAACCGCCGAATGGCATTTTTTTTTACTTTTTTCATTAGATCTCCGAAACCGCTAGACCTGCCTTCATGAAAATTTTATCAACTCTTCATCTTGCCAATACAAGTAAAATGTTTTTTGAATTATTCAAATCGGACGCTCCGTTCTCTTGAAAACTGAGTTACCGTTTTCGGCACTTTTTGCCCCGTATCTTCGGAACGGCTAGACCTAACTTCGCCAAAAACTAATCAGCACGTCTCCTTATCAGTACGAATCGAATGTTTTTTGAATTATTCAAATCGGTTGATCCGTGTTCCCGAAATCGTCGACGAAAATTTGTATCCGCACATACATACACACACATACATACATACACACACACACACACACACACACACACACATACATCCATTTTTTCTAAGGTATGCCAAAATGTTCAGAAACCTCTGAAACGTAAAGATATATAAAAATTTTCATTTTCGATTTTTTTGCGATTACTATAACTTACCCTACGGGAAGTTAAAAATTAAGGAGGGCGCAACAATTTATTTTGTTAGAGCAGGGGAGCGCTTTGCAAAAAAGGGTGGAAACCATTGGAGTTAAGGGCTAGCCAAAAACATTGATATGTCTAAAATAAAAAATAAATAAAAAGACAAAGTTTAAACAAAAAAAGGAAAATTACTAGGCCACTTGATGTTCTTGTAACATGGACAAACATTATTCATGCGGTATCCTTTTAGTGAAGCAACTGGATGCCATAAGCACATTTTTTATCCAAATAAATTTCGAAATCTTACCCTTATAGCCATCACACCTCTCCTTATTCGATTCTCCGCGATGAGGCGTAGATATAAAAGTCTCACGTATAAATCCGCCATCACCAGGTTTCCTGGCCACCTTCTCATTCTGGACGAACCCTTCGTTCAGAGGTGGCAAACTTGACGATCCAGAATTGTGAAAATCTTTACGATAGTCCGTGGTCATAGTAGTAGTCATCGTGGTAAGGTAAGTAGTTTGCTCGTATGCAAAAATATTAGTGCTGTGCTGCTTGTTGGAAGAGGTGTGTTTTGGTTGCTGTGGCGCTGCGTCCTGGATGTAATCGTCTTGAAATTGTTCTGGTACTTGGAATACCTTTAAGATGATATCCAACAAGTTTAGTATTTGTGTAAATTTAAATGTCCAGCAAGAAGCTAAACTCAGACAAAATATAGCTATAATAAAGATTAGTATAGGTAAAAAATGTAAAAATGATTAGTTTTAAAGTGAAGTCTACTGGTGCAAATGATACAGGTGGACATGGCTGGTCCTACCTTGAATGCGATGCATCCGAAAAATGCGGGCGCACGCCTTAGGGGGCAGCAAAATGAGATTCGGATATGAAATTTATAATATATCTATTATATAAGAATAAGTCGGGTTTTCTTTCCTGACGATATAACTCCAGAACGCACAAACCGATTTATAAATATATAAACTCCGTGAGGTTTATACTGAGGTTTATAGCAAAGAAATTTGAAGAAAGATTTCAACAGAAAAGCGGAAAACACTTTCTTTTTTCACATACAGCGTCATCTCTGATACTCAGCATGTACTACAAACTAATATTTTTTGTTTGAGTGCTACTCATTGTTCTCTGCTTAGTTAATTTCATGTGACAAACCGGCATTGTGTTCACTGTGAAATTGTGCAAAAAAAGTAAAAAAAATAGGTTATTCATTTCCTAACATTTCAATTGGAAACCATCAAATCTCACGTGTATTGTGCAAATTTTTATTTAATTTCAACAGAAGGCAATTTTTTTCTTCATCTTTTAATCACCAAACGAAATGTTACATAAAATGAAACCATCTGGTGGTGAAACGTTTGCGGTGGTGAAACGGAGTTCGCCCGGCTGCGGTTATTTATATATTTTTAAATATAAACTTAAGAATACTTAATAAATTATAATAAACAATCTAACTTAACTATTGATGTGGAGATACAAAAAGCATTTTCAGTTTTCAATGTGATATCAGTAGAAACAATTAACCGATTAATAACTCTGCAAATTAGTAAATTATTGTTCTGCTTATTGCAGTTGAATGTTGAAGGCATGCGTGGTTAGGGTTATGGAAATGGAGCAAATATGAAAAATGTAGGCAAAATTTACTTTGGAACAAAAATTGTTTGGAACTCTAAAATTGATTATTAACCATGCAAAAATAATACAGATACTGTTACATATATTTTTTAATATAGTTCAAGAAATATGTAATTTCTTTGTATCTTTTGACAATACTTTTAAAATACGTTAAAAATTTAATTTTAAAACAAAAATCTGATTCTCTGAATCTGATGGGAAGTAAACATGAATTCAATTTTGGATATTATAAATAATAAAAAATTTAAAAAATCCAACATGAAATACGATTGTTATGTTTAAAAATAAAACTCTAGAAAAAATTGCGTGCGGGCGCTGAGGGCCCCAGGACCGGCCCTGCAGGATGTAAGAGGCATTTTGCCTTGAAGTTAGTAGCATGAACTTCCCGACATGTGTAAACGAGCGATATAATCAACAGGAAATCAATATATTAATTTATCAGTGATTTATAACTATAAAGAGTTGCTGTAGATTTCATTTGCTCAATTTGAACAAGTTTCTCAAACTTTTTTTTTCTAAACATTTTATAAAAACGCGGTCGATTGATCTTTAATTAATTTTTATAATTAAACCACTTGTCGTATGTCTCTAATTTTAGTATGTTTCTTAAGAACAGAACCTCTATAAAGAGTTTCATTAAAATCGCAAAAAATCTAACAATCAATTACGAAAAGGTCGATCTTTGCTAAGAACTAATCAGCACGAATTTCAAATTATATCTTTCGAATAGTTTGAGATAAATATCCAAACAGTAAATTATAAAGTAAAACCAAATTTAAGAACGTCATTTATGCAATACCATTTAAGCATTCGTTGTATTTAAAATATCAATTATTTGCAATAGATATTTAAAATTTTATGAATAATTCCTTTTCTTACCGTTGCAGGATCGCAATCGCACACATCGAACTGCTGCTGACTTTTCTTCTTCTTACTCGTTCCATCTTTTGCCAAATGTTGTCGATGTTCATACAACATCCTCTGGCACTCCACACAATCCCTTTCAAACTGCATAGCTTGCCCATCCATGGCAAAAATTTCACAATTCTCATCACAACAAATATCACCACCACCTCCTTCATACACATTCTGATGATTCATGTTCATCATGTATCTATTACTGTTGTGATGATAGCCTTCGTGATGAGTAAAAGTGTACCTAGAAGTGTTATTATCACAATCGCTTGGATGCACAGGTTTCGCACAATGGTCTGTGGGAGGCTGGTAATAATTTGATCTGTTGTGATCGCTGTAGATTGATTTGTGATTGTATTTATCACTGACAGGTTTGTAGTTTAAGGAATTATAAACGTTAACCTTGTGATCTGTTAGATCGTACTTGTTACCAAAATTGTGATCATGTGTCCTCGTAGTATACCTGTGATCGAATCGGTTATTGTAATCAGTTCTGTAATCCAGAGAGTTGTAATCTTCTTGGGGTTTGTATTTGTGTGATGTGTATTCTACGGGGTTGTTTGTTGTATGATTTATCGAATGATAACTGTTATCGTACGAATGTTGAGTGGATGAACCGCTGTCTCGACGATAAGGCTCTGTTAGTAGGTTGGAGTTGTGATTTGCTCCAGGGGTTGTTGATAATGGCGGGAGGGTACTGGCGTGTTCGCTGCTTCGGCTAGAAAATAGAAAAAATCAATAAAAAATTCATGCACACTATCAATTTTTCAATTGTGTTTAGTAGCATCCTTAAGCTCAGGACAGAAAAGTTATTTCGTCATTTGATACTAGTTACTGATAAAAACTGGGCGTAAGTAGCATTTTTCCTGAGGACAAATTATATAAACAGATAAATAATAATTAAAAATTAACTATGTTTTTATTTATTTATTTAAAAATCAATATTATGCATTTCAATATAAAGAAATGGTCGAAGCTTATCTTTCGTCAAACAGAACACTGCGCACTCTCGGAATTCAGCGCAAATGTAGGAAATAAGATTCATTCTTGATGCATCAATGATATTGAGTTTCTACTAACAAGGAGCACCTCTGTTTTACTCTTCTGGAATGTCGATGAATCTTAGCAAGGTGATAAAGTTGGTAGTCAAAACAAATTTCTTAAAATATTATAGGCCTATGAGAATTGCACCATGCAAAGTTTCATGAAAATCCCAGAAGAGAAACAGGCTCTGCCAACTCTTGCACATTAGGTACTGGTCCGTGATAAAAACAATGGATTGTCTTTTAGTGTTGATCCAGAAAACATTATTATTATAATTTAAACATTAGGTCTATTATAGTTAACTATCGCATTGATTGCACAATATAATTTAGGACTGTCAAAGCGGACCAGCTTTTAAATCGTAACCTGGTTGTTTCACTTTAAAATGCATCTCTCAATTTTGATGAACCATGGACTGTGGAGTTTGATTTAGCTTTTTAGATAAAATTATCAACTGTTCATTTTGAAAATGAATTTTTCGCTTTTTCTAAAAACTAATTAGTTCGATTTCTAATTAATAACTTTCAAACAAACTTTTAATATAATTAACTTCCCGTAGGGCAAGTTATAGTAATCGCAAAAAAATCGAAAATGAAAATTTTTATATATCTTTACGTTTCAAAGGTTTCTGAACATTCTGGCATACCTTAGAAAAAATGGATGTATGTGTGTGTGTGTGTGTGTGTATGTATGTACGTGTGTGTATGTATGTGCGGATACAAATTTTCGTCGACGATTTCGGAAACACGGATCAACCGATTTGAATAATTCAAAAAACATTCGATTCGTATTGATAAGGAGACGTGCTGATTAGTTTCTGGCGCAGGGAGGTCTAGCCGTTCCGAAGATACGGGGCAAAAAGTGCCGAAAACGGTAACTCAGTTTTTAAGAGAACGGAGCGTCCGATTTTAATAATTCAAAAAACATTTTACTTATATTGACAAGGTGAAGAACCGATCAAATTTTCATAAAGGCAGGTCTAGCGGTTTCGGAGATCTAATGAAAAAAGTAAAAAAAAATGCCATTTGGCGGTCAAAAATGATCATTAGACTTATGCACATCAAATTATCAGATATTTTATAGAGTTTTTAACAATAAGTATGAATTTGGTTTACAGTGCTATGGGTTCCGTACCAATGTTTACGCGTTAGACGGCGACGCAGCGCTTACGCGCTTTGATATTTCGTCTTTATGCAGTTAGAACATTATGATTGCTTTGAAAAAAAGTTTAGATCTTCCAAAATATGTCAAAATAAAGAAAACATTTTTTTTTTTATTAATAAAAAATTTTTTTTTTTTAAAAAAAATTTTTTTCAAAAAAAAGTAATTTTTGGTCCAATTTATAGTTTCTCAAAAATCTTATTTTTTCGAAGTAAATTTTTTTCAAAAATGTTAATCGTTTTTTTTTAAAAAAAAAATTGGTACCGGAAGTTCCAGCAATTTGCCTTAAGGCACGATGCCTTAATTGCCTTAAGACAGAATTCCACTTACAGCTAGTTGTATTATTTGTATTAATATAGTGCACGAACATACGCAAAGAAAATTCTAAACTTTACTACATTTTTATAATTCAACCATTTTTCGTAGGTCTATATCAAGGATGAGCAACCCGCGGCCCGCCGGAGGTTTTTCTGCGGCCCGCCAAGCATTTCTCAGCTACAGATTATTTTTCCAGATATTTTATCAAATACGGCTGTAAAAGCTAATTTTGATGTCATTCAATTACTGGTAATAACTGTTGTTCGCAGAAATAGCATTTCATGATAAAATAAATATTAGTTTAACAATATTGCAATAAAAATTGAGAACTTGTCGCGAGGTTTAAATCATCATTTTTTTATATGAAAGAACAATTGTAGTACTTTCGTCTTGTGTTTCACATTTCATTTTCAGAAAAAGAAAATTTGAACAAATTTTAATTGTGATTCCAAATGTTCAAAGCTAACAAAACAGCTGTTTTCATGTAAATGTTTTCTTCGCCATTTACCATGCAAAATAATAGAAAATAATAGAAAATGTATTTTTTCAGTAAACATCGCATTTTTTTTTATAAATATCATGTCAGCCCTGAGAAATTTTCACTTTTGAAAAAAAAAACAAGTCAAATCATGATAAATTATATTTTTGGAAGTACGTATGTGTGCAAACAATTACACAAGTCCACAAAAGAAAAGTCGCTATTTTATCAGAAATAATTCATTCATTCAGAAAAAATGCTAGATGGAAGATTGTGCCAGTTTTTAGATGTGATTCTTGTGGCCATTTTTAATTTTGTTGCAATTACATTATTTCCGAGCTCAGTCAACCGTCAGTCTTTTGAGTTTATGAAAAAGCTTCAGTTTTATTTAAAAAGAAAAGGCAATTTATTTTTATAATGGGTTGTACGAACGTAACATTTTTTTTAAATTTTGCTCTTTATTTTAATTTTTAATGCGGAATGTAAAACTGCATACAACTCCAAATTTTTATTATTTTATAATAGTCATTTTAGGAGTCCATTCATTTTTTATTTAACTCGGTAATCGATCAATTAACTATTATCGCCTTTTTTGTGAACGTTTTTAATGGGAATTTGATCAAGATTTTTCTGAGCTTATGAAAAAGCTTAAATTTATCCGTTCTATTCGCTGCAAGAGCAATTCTAGCAAAAACAAATATAAATTTAATATTAAAATCTGAAGAAACTGTTTTTGAGAGGAAACTAAACTTTTTCAGAGTTATTGAAATCTCACTCGTTTCGCTAAGCATAGCATAACCTAATTCAACTATGTATGTTAGTATTTTAGCGTTATAGTGGGTAAATTATCAATGTAATTTGTGTTAGCTGCCCCTTTCATTAATATACCAGATATTTATACATTCAAAATTAATTAGTCATTTCTAATACTAATGATTTTCTAAAAATATTTCCTGTGGCTAAACGTTCGCCGGGTCAGCTAGTATATATATATATAAATCACGTGCGGCCCGCCATAAAATTTTGAAAACCAAATTGGCCCGTGGGTTAAAAAGGTTGCTCGCCCTTGGTCTATATTATTTGAGAATGCTCATTTAGATCATGAAATCTATCGGCGTGTTAAGTTTTATTGAAAAGGTAAAAAAAAAAAATTAATTCCTTGCTTAATCAGCACGATTAGCACACAAATGATAACTTCCGATAGGTTTCAAAATTTTCAAAATCGTTTCAGGATTTACTGCATTATATTTATAGACGTTTAGTTTGAACTTATCTGTAAGTTTCATCAAATTGCTTTCACATTTTTGAAATCTAGGGGTTGGTACTGTTGTTATTGAAAATTAGCTCACATACAATAACACACACATGCCAATTTCCATGTCAAATGATTCAGCATAAATTGAAACGTCGAAAAAATATCAAAATATGAAATCGGATTACTGGCAAAAACAAACCTATCATTCGGGAGTTAAAAATCTAATGTTCATGCTTTCTAAATACAACTAATTATATTTTAAAATTTTCTAATGTATTTACTAACAACAACATTTCCAAACTTTTTATGCCTGAGAATCAGGATTTATAAAAGATATTTTTGTTAACAAACTAAAATGACTCATTTGGATCTTTCTTCGATTTATCTCACGTGGGGCACTATCTTACAGGGATCTGAGCTACACTGTAACAATAAATGGAAATCCCGATTAACATTTTTGTAACTATTTACTTAACTAATTAAAATGCTGAATATCATAAGAGGAAGATAAAAAAAAAGTTAATAATAACCAAATAAAAATATTGATAATCATGGTACCTTTGGAAGACATCAAAATTTTGCTTCTTCTTGTAAAGGTTGCAACAATAAAAACCAATTTACATGAAATTATTTAAGAAATTTATTACTTGTTAAACAGTTAGATCAATTTGCTCATACTATTATTATTTCTTTTACGATTTTGATGTTGTAACATTGCTCCCCCTGCTCTATAAACGAGTACCCTATATATGAGCTTCATTGCTACAATCGACCGATCTGACTAAAATGCAATTTAAGTTGAAAAGTGGCTAATAAAATTCATATTTACATACTTTTAAGTGATCAGAGATCGCTTCAGTTTATATATGCCAGTCAGAAGTTGATTAAATTAATATTTGCATCGCTACGTTATCTTTTTTTAATTAATATTAATCTATTAAATTTACCTGTGTGTAAAATGACCGCTTGATCCTCCGCTGTCGCGGTTGTTGCAGCTGCTTGTGCTGCGATTGCAGCTACTGTTGCTGCGGTTACAGCTACTGTTACTTCGATTACAGCTGCTGTTACTTTTGTATACACCTGAAGATCGGTTTCCTTCACGATACAATTGTCTATCGTAGTCTTGGGGGCTAGAAGATTCGTCTGCAAATAGAAAAGACTAATTATCATTTGTTTTATAAAAAATGTTTGCCAGTGGACGCATTATATCACAGACAATAGTAATAGTTATATTTTCTATATATATTTTTCATATAAAGTTACAAAATATCTAAATTGTATTAAACGAATTTAAATAACTAAACAAGACCCGTATTTGGCTTTTTATATATTAAAAATTTTCTTAAATCTTTTCCAACTATGACAATCATCAGTGCAAAACGAAAACCGCGCTATAAGAAACTCGGATTTGTACAAACCGCGCTGTAAGAAACTCAGAATAACTACAAAACACCATTTGTACCGTGTTATATGAGGACCAATACAATAAACATAAATTATAAATTATTCATATTTAAACAAAATTTATTGAGTTTTTTTCAAACAGACTTTTTTTTAGAAATATTATCGCGTTGTGGAGAGAAGTTTAGTTCATCTCTGACTTTGCGCATTTGAAGCAACAATTATATAGAAAACATAATTTAGTTTCACTAAAGTCTAATAAATCCTTTGATCTACCAAATATTTAAAAAAAAAATAATATTCTATTTTTGAACTTTAAGATCTAATATAATCTAATCTAGGATCTAATATAATAAATATAGTTTTAGATATGCCGTAAATAGTTTTCACCATTTCTTTGCTATTCGTGCTAGATTTTTATTCAACGAAGACGTAAATTTTTTATACCGTAATATTGCGATGTGTCGTATCCTCGCTGCCGGATCAGCTCCTCCTCGTCAGCCCTTGTCCTGGCGTACAAATCCGGCAAGGATTTGTGACTTTCGTGAAAACCTTCGTCTCTTTGAGACCTTCTCGAATGATGTGATCTACTAGAATTGTGCTGATGGTGTCCCTTATATCTTGCAGACCTCAATACCTACAAAAATAAATTGAAAAAAAGTCATAAATGATTATGAAAAACAGTAAAGATGAAGCATTTTATCATATTTAAGTTTAGCTTTAACGCTTGGATTCATATTTAGCGACATCTAATTTATTTTTTATAAAATAATTTTATTGATTTCCAATTGAAGCAAAGAAGTATTTAGGTGCTCTCCATATTATTGAACAATTTCTGAGTGGATGAAAGTAAAAGTACACCAAAGAACTAATCAATTTCGTTCAATTATGGTTAATTTCGGATATCTGAAGACATGTTACCTGTGGTGAAGAAGCGTACTCAGCAGGCGGACTGATGGCCCCTCCCAGCAATAAGTCTTCACAACTTCCTACGCCACTACGAAATGCACCCGGTTCCTATAATATATAATATAATTAGCTATATATATATATATTTTGAGGCTCAAATGGTCTATATCAAATGCTAAATCATGGGTATGTTAGGTATGTATACCCATAAATAACAATATAATAGAATTTAAAAAAAAAATAATAAAATAAAAATATAATATAATAATAAATAAAAAATAAAATAAAAAACATACAATGGTTCATCGCCATTTAACGAGTTTAATTCGTTTCGTAACCGCGCTTATATGTCGAATTGCTCGTATCTCAAAGCAATTTTTCCATATAAAAACATTGTAATGCCATTAATTTGTTTCAGCACAGTGGTTTTTGTTAAGTTTTTATTTACTAAAATCAAATTTACTGTTTATTAGTTTTTTATTGTTATTTCGAGTGATATTGATCCATAAACGTTTAGAGCTTAGAAACCTGCTTATAAATTATTATAAGGCCCTTAGCTAGAGTTATACCCTTTATCAACTTCTTCTGTTTAGGGGGCGTCCATTAATCACGTGAGCCTTAAAGAAGAAGGAGGGTATGTCAAAAAATCACAAAATATTACGTGAGGGGCAGTGTCTAGAAAAATATCAAATGCATTTATTTTTTACCTCAATTTAAAAAAATCCAAAAATTTTCAAAAAAAATCCAAAATTTCACTATTTTTTTCTAGGTACTAATAATAACCGTGATGTTTGGTGAGGGAAGAGGTAATTTTAAATATCGCCAAGTATCACCCAGGGAGGTTCCAAAAATACTTAGAAATAGCTAATGTCACTATAGAACGCCCCCTTAAACATAGTCTATGATGTGTTACGCCAGATTTCACTGTATCTATAGTATTTATCATAAAATTGGGAACTCCCAAATAGTTAATAATCAAATCTTTTTAGCAATTTTTAAATTTACAAAAAAAGAACTATATAGCAATCCATAGTAAATAAATGTTGTTTAGTATTTTATCTTACCTTTATTATGGAATCGCGCCCACTTTCGCCCTCCAGCCCCTTCCGTCCTAAACTCCTCCTCCTGTCCGTGACTTCACAGCCTAACAATTTCCTCAGTTTGTTTTGTAAATCGTCACCAGCAGCACTGGCAACACTGCCAACGGCTGGCGAGTATCCTACCACATTATGAGTATTGCCAGATGAACTAACATTATTATTAAAAGCACCACCGATGTTGCGCTTATTCTTGTAGGGTAAATTTGAAAAGAGCACGCTAGAGTTCTTTTCAAAATACGGTTCTGATTTCTTGTTATAAGCCAGATTGTTAGAATTCTTGTTATAAGTTAAATCGCTATTATCGATATGTTGCTTAATATCGAAGTCCGTTGGATAACTTAAAGTGTTATTAAATTGTGCAGCGTTCCTGGGTGATGCGTTTAGAGACTTTGGAACCCGAGGGGGCGTAGTCCTGCTATTGGGCCCCCGAGGACTCGGACTGTTCTCGGCGCTGCTACCGGAAAATGGAGGCAGTCTGGAGAATGCAGAATGTCTGCGCGGCAGTAAGGGATGCGGCAAGGAGCGAGATGGGCTCACGAGAACATCTAAAAAAAATATATATAATTAATACTGAGATTTATTTTTAATTTAAATATATATTGCAAAAGCATCCAGCAATATTTAAAGAATGAATAATTTGGCGAGTGTATTCGTATCAAAATACATAGCCAGAGACAAACATAATAATAGTATAAAATATTATTAAAAAATTGGGTTTTGTATGTACAGGGTGGCTGATATGTATTGCAACCAACTTCAGACTGCTATCATTTCTAAACCGCTCATCAGACAGTTGACAGATTTGTTTCAGTGATTGTTCATTTAGTTGTTTACAAGCGTACTAAAGCATTTTGATCTATTGCATTCAGAAAAAAATTTATTCTTGAAGGAAGTCAAGCGTGATAGTGTTATTGCTATATATTTGGCTGGAAAACCACAAGTGGCTATCGTTAAAGCCCTCCAGCATTTAAATGCGAACAAATATTTTGTTTCTCGTACCATATTTCGTAACCGTGATACTCTTAGTAATGCACCGCGTCCAAAAAGTAAACAAAAAAAAACACCAGAAACACCAGAAAAGTGAAGGCGAAAATTGATCGAAATTGGTGTCGCAGTGCTAAAGAAATGGCGCGTGAGCTTAACATATCGCGAGAACGGATGCAACACATATTGAAAAATGAGCTTGGACTAAAGCCATTGAAGTTCCAAAAAGTGCAAGAGTTCATACATGTACAGACAAAAGTTAGACGGGAAAGAGCCAAGGAGTTGGTTCGCTTGCACGAAAGTGGCTAGTTGGCGAATTTGGTTTTCTACGATGAGAAGTCATTCCAAATTGAGCAGTTTGTAAACAAGCAAAATGATAGAGTTTACTTGCCAAAGAGGTCAGCTAAAAATTTACATCTTCGATTGTCCACCAGAACTCAAGCACCGCCGACGGTAATGGTGAGAACCACCGTAACCGCCAATGGTGACCTTCCGCTCGTATTCATCGACCGTGGGATCAGAATAATTGCCGAATTTATCGGAAACATGTCTTAAAGGCAGTATTGAAGTCCTGGATAGACAAACATTTTGGTCACAGACCATGAACATTCCAACAGGACTCAGCACCATCACACTCAGCACGCGTCAACCGAAAATGACTTAAAAAAGAGGTTTCTTGCTTCATGTCCATCGCACAATGGCCACCAAAATCTATGGAACTAAATTCGTTGGACTTTTGTGCCTGGTGCATTTTGAAGAGTAAGGTTTGCACTAAAAAATACCAAATTGTCGATGATCATCTCAAAAAGACGCCTCGCCGGGAATAGGCCAAAATACCCCAGAGCCACTTTCGTACGTGTTATGGCTTTTCGGCCGTTTGAAGGCTATAATTCGTGCAAAAGGTGACCAATTAGAACAAATCTAAACTGATTTTAAAATTTGATATTATTTCCGACATTTTTGCTTTTAAACAATAAAATTTAGAATAAAAATGAAAAAAATATAGCGCTTTACTTTGTTCCATTACATATCAGCCACCCTGTATATCTGAAAGAAGTAGTTTCATATCTTCGGTCTAAAGTACACTTTTGCACTTACATCTTTTCTTTTTTAGTTTAAAAAAAATATTAATAAAGTATGCGCTATTACAATAAAACAAATAAAAATCATAATAATTCTTCTATCAATCAATGTCAGATGTGTTTTTAAAAAAACAAAAGCATAAAAATTATAAAAAATGAAAACGTAATTTAATTACGAAATAAAAAAATTAAAAAAAAGTTAAAAAAAACTCCTCTACCACTAAAAAATATAAAATGGAAAACTGAAAAATATAATAAAATCCAAGAGTTTGTTTTAAACCAAGATTTGTAGTATAAAATCTGTTGTCAATCTTTTCGTTGTTGGACATCAAAAAGTAAGTACTTTTAACATTTCTATATTTAAATAAAGAATTATTTGACGTTTACATTCATAATATAAGAAAACGTATTTTGATGTTTTGTTGTTCGTCTGTCTTTCAGTCAGAAATTAAGTTGTTATTTTAAGTTATTATCTTGGAATAGATTGTCTCAAATTTAACTACCATTCTTCTTGCTTTTAATTTCCTCTGGCATGTTTGTTTTCTCGTGATCATTAAGTTTTGTACTGTTTCGACTCATTTTTTTACTCCATAAATATTTTTCTCAACAATTTCTTAAAATACCACACACCATTATGACATAATTGACATAAATAGGTTCGATCAAATCTTCATGATAAATTAAAAAATAATTTCGGGGCATACGACGGGGCAATTTCAAAATTAGAACCCAAAAACTAGTATATGTATTGCTTTTACATTTCTCATATCAAAACTCGTTGCTGATCAAAATAACTAGGTTAGATGCTTCTAACTGAATTATCGTGAATTTTTATATCAACTTATTATTTAATATTTTCATAGTGAGTTCTGGAGCAATGGAACATCTTCAAAAGGGCATGGAGCACCTTAAACAGCTCGAGGTTGAGCTGGACGTTTTATCTGGATGCCCACGTTGCAACATCGAAAAGCCTTTAGGAGAATTGAGAAAATGGGCAGAGTTGAATCCCCATAAGGACTGTCCTTTAGCTGGAACTGGTAACGACAGCATTCAATACCATCAGGTAAATAAATTATTGCAGCATGTAATTGATTATACTATTGATGTTGGTCCATGACAAATAACCACTATTTTTACTTGTTTCAAATAATTTTTGTATTTTCATTGGATTAACCCAGTTAGTCTAACTTACATGGCCAATACCGTAGCATCTGTACATTTCACAAAAACACAATAAAAAGTTTATGATATTTTCTTGGATTTGTAATAAATTCTTATTATTCTGTGAATAGAATGTGATAAAAAACGCCAATCAAAATCGAATTCTGGATCTAAAAAATCTACTGACAGCAGAACCAAAAACAAACAACGATTCACCACTAGGAAATGTGCGTCCTCAGGGTGGTTCTTTGCATATGGTTGTCGAGAACAAGAAGCCGGCTCCATGTCCGTATCATGGAAATATTCCGCCAAAGGTAAGTTGTCATGATGACAAACTTTTATTAGGTGCGCAACTAAATTCTCGCTGTTTGTCAGTATATGGCTCTAGCAGTAAGGGTTGGTCGATTTTGACAAATCCAAAACGTCTTGAACCAAGCATAGACATGTGGTAAACAAACTGCTGTGACACATAGGTGATTTCGTTTTTGCATTATATACTTCTGGTTAAGTGAAAATGTCTAATTTCATGCCAAACAATCGTCATTTGCGGGGAGTGTTGATTTTCGTCTTCCATTCGAAAAAAACGGCAGCTCAAGTGCATCGAGAGCTACGGAAATGCTGCTCTGAGCGAAACAACATGTCGTGAGGGGTTTCGTCCCTTCAAAGATGGTGATTTTGATGTTGACGACCGCCTTCGTAAAGGAAGGCCAAAACCTTCAAAAACGCTAAATTGAAGAAATTGCTCAAAGAGGATTCGTGCGAAACTCAAGAAGATCTTGCTTCAGAATTAGGAGTTACCCATTTCCAAGCGATTGCATGCATTGGGGATGATTCGGAAGCAAGAAACTTCGGTTCCTTGTGAGTTGAAGCCTAGAGACGTCAAGCGTCGTTTTTTCGCCTGGGAACAACTGCTCCAGCGGCGAGAAAAGAAGGGGTTCTTCATCACATTGTGACAGATGATAAAAAATAAATACATTACAGCAATCCAAAGAGGAGAAAATCTCCGTTCGGCCGAATCTTCACAGCAAAAGTTATGCTCGGCATATGGTGAGACCAAGTCGGTGTTATTTAATATGAGCTGTTGAAACCGAGCGAAACCATCACTGGAGAACTGTATCGAACTCAATTGATGCAATTTAGCATTGGTCGAAAAACGGCCACAATACGAGCAGAGTGATTTTACTGGATGACAACGCTCGGCCTCACGTTTCCAAGCCTGTTAAAACTTATTGGGAGCCTGGCAGATCAGCAGTTCAACTTATATGAAGACGTCAAAAAATGACTTGATTTGTTGATAGCCTCAAAAGGCGAACACTTCTTGCGCCAAAGTATACGAGCTTTGCTAGAAAGATGGGCAAAAGATGTGTCAAGCGATGGGCAATACTTTGAATGAATCAGATGTTTTATAATATAGAATAAAGTTACATTTTCATCGAAAAAGAGCGAGAACTTAGTTGCGCACCTAATATATAAATATATAATTAGAAAATAATTCGTAAAATCAATTAATACTTTACATTGCTTTCAAATTTTTATTTATCATTCTTTTAGAATTATATTGCTCCGAATAATAACCACACGGGTATGATACCGCCTCGCGTCCTGGCTCAACGGAGTTCTTCTCTGGTTGGAGGCTCTTCTCAAGGGGGCAACAGCGGTGCCAGCGAACAGTATGCTGCAAACCCCCAACGAGGGCACTTGAGTTCATTGCATAACGGATCAGAAAATGATACTCGGATGGGATCGATACAAGAGTACAAGATTCATTTATCACAAGGTGGGTAAAATTATTTACTAAGTTATAAGACCAATATTTTGAATAAGGTGAAATATTCGTTTCTTCGATTTCTGAGTACCATAAAGAAGATTTCACTTATTTCGAATGATATGAAAAATGTAATGCCCGAGCTATAATTTCGTCAGCATTATTTAATTATTTTGCCTACAAACCCACAAAAAAGGAAAATTAATAAAGCATACCAAAGTTTACGTATTGGTTGACTATATACAAAAACGGGAACTAAGGCTAGTAATGGCAACAACACTAGAAATAGTTACCATTATTAACACTTCTTACAAATTCCTATAAAATATTAAAATAGTTTCAAAGGAGGGGTAGAACTATATAGACATATAGCGTGTAATATCATGTCATTATATATATCATCCGAAAATCATTAAACGAGCCAAATGATTGGCACGTCATGCATCTTATTTATTGTAACCCTCTCTCGTATATTTTTGACGACATCTGAGATCCTTATAGCAGAGTTTAAACGCAGCAATTCTTGGAAGATTTTGTACAAATTAAAATTATT